GTGCAGGGGTCGGGCAGGGCCCTGGGACTTGAAGCCAGCTTCTGAGGGGCCTGGAAGGGCACTGTCCTCTCTCGGGGCCAAGACTGTTCTAGACCCACAGGAAACCACAAAGAGGATGTGGAAGCCCTCGCCCTGCCCTCCAGGGAGGCGCAGCTCCTTCCAGACACCCAGATGGCCAGGAAGGTCGGAGCAGGGCTCGCGGCGGCGCCCAGCAAGGTGGACCTGGCCTCAGCCCGGCCCTGGCAGGAAGTAAGTAAGGGCAGCAACTGAGAGCGGGGTCCTGGAGGCCGAATGTGGGGCGCTCATCTGGGCCTGGGAGCGCACGTCAGCCACGACAGAGGCGCTGGGCAGAGGGGTGTGGTGGTAATACGGGGCGGGTGTCCAGCCCTGACCCAGGGCACGGGTGGGCGGGGGTGTAAGTCCCCTCCTGTGGCTAGGAAGAGGCCTGTGGGGGGCTCAGCCTCAGCTTCCTCATGGTGAGCCACAAACAGGGGGTCGGGGATCAGAAACGGACTGTGGATTCTCCATGGAGACACTGCCTTCCATCAGCCACCTTCGGGGGTCACGGTGCCCCCGCAGCCCTTCCCTCGCGCAGGGGGGCAGGCAGAGCCCAGCGGGGCTGAGGGCGGGGCTGCGCCCCAGTCCGGCCCGTGCGCGCGCGCGCGCGCGGTGTCCGCGCCCCCACCGAGGCCGCCCGGGGCGCGCGGGCCCCGGCGCCGTCGCCAAGTTGCTCTCGGTGTCCCGGTGATCCCGCCCGCGCCGCCGCCCCATCCCGGGCCCCGACTGGAAGCTTCTGGAGAGCAGGAAGCGCGGGCTGCCCCGTGGTCACGCCGGGGCCGGGCTCCGGACCTCTGCGCCCCCGCCAGGTGATCTGGAACCTTCTCCCCGCACACACCCCAACCACAAACAACCGGGGCGCCCCCCTCCGGAGCAGGGCGGCGGAGCCGGCCGCGGCCCGGGCGGGAGGGCGCAGGGGGGGAGCAGCCAGGGTTGGGGGGGCTTCGCGGGGTCCCCAGCGCCTTGAGGGGGGCGGGCAGGTGGGGGGCGGCCCCCGTGGGTGCCCGCTGGCCAGGCCGGGGCGCCCTCCCCCCCGGCCCCCCCCCCCCCGGGACTCATCCCCAAGGGGGACACAGGAGCCGGGCTAAGGGGGTCGCCCATCCCCATCCCGGCTGGAGTGGGTGGTCCGTGCTTGTGGGGGGGCCTAGGAACCTAGAACCTAGGGGGTCCAACTCCCCCCCACACACAGGCCAGGGGACACTGGGGAGACTGTCCCCCCAAAGCCTGAGCTCCTGCCACTCAAAGGCCCCATGAGCCCCAGGGTCACAGATGCCCTTTGAGGAGGTCACAACCCCCCCCAGGCCTTGGAAGGAGCCCCCTGCCTTCCCCATCCCCAGGAGAGGAGGCTCCAGCCAGCACAAGACCCAACAGACTTCTGAACTTGCACGTGCCTGAGGGTAGATGGCGTCTGGAGATCCCTTTAAAGAGGGGGCGTCCTTCCCCAGCCCTTGAAGAGGGAGTGGGTCACAGCAGAAGAACTATAAAAGTCCAGCTTGCTTTATTCCCTCCCCCCCACGGGGGGGGGGGGGGCTTCTATGATGGAGGGGCCGGCGTGCTACAGCTGAATTTAATTGGTGCCTGGGTGTTGTCTCTCCCTTCCCCCCAGCCCCCAACCCTGCTCAAAATACTGTCCTTCCTCTTGTCCAGTGGAGCTGACCCCTCAAGGTTCTGGGGAGCTGGGATCCAGGTGCTGCTCCGCAGGGGGAGGGAGGGGAGGTCTCCTGGAAGAAGGTGGGACCCCCAGGCGGGTCTCTGGGACCACACTGGGGACCGCGCTGCCCACTAAGGTGCCCTACCTGGTGCCAGGTGGCTGGACCTCTGGGCAGGGGGAGGTGCCCGGTGGCTGGGCGGGGAGGGCGGGAGGACGGCAGCCAGTCTGTCCCCTCTGTCAGTCTGGTTGTGCTCGATGGGGGATGGGTGTGCAGTGTGTTCTCTCTGGCCTTGGATGTATTCCTCTCTCTCCCGGCTCTGCTCTCCTGCTCCAAGGCGTTTAACCCTTCCTCCCTTCCTCGTGGGTCTGGAGGTGTCTGGTACAGCAGAGAGACCCGAAGGAGACATTCCTCTTCCCAGAGCAAGAGGCAGATTCTTTTGGGGGGCAGGGGCGGGGGGATAGAGGTGTCTGCCGGGCCCCAGGCATTGGCACAGCCCCCTGGGTGGAATGGGATGGGGGCAGCATTCGCCCAGAAAAGGTTCGTAGTTGTTGAGAGAAGCAGGAAGAGGTGGAACTTTTCCCAGGTGTGGAAGAGATCTGGACTGGAAAGGAGGCTCAGGTGAAGAGTCCCTGGAAGTGGGGGTGAAGGAGGCCAGGAGGCCAAAAGGTCCTTTTGGGTATATGTGTGTATGTGTGTGGGGATACACACTGGGCCTCGTCTTTGCCGGCTTATTGGCCAGCTTTAAAAAGCAACCAAGAAGGGAGAGGTGGATCAGCAGACTGCCAGCGCCTCAAAGCCAGCCTGTGTCCCCTGAGAGCGTAGCCCACTGAGCCACCCACACGGGAGGCTGTGAGGGCAGAGTTCCTCGGGCTGGCTGCCGAGCAGGCTGGGCAGGCTGGGTGGCTGGAGGGGGCTCTGCCTCCTCTTCCTCCCACCTGGGCCCTGAGGAAGACAACTCTTTTTCTTCCCACCCCAGGACCACCCACTGGATCTTTGACCCCTGGTGCCGGGGAGAAATCCACCCCAGCAACCTCACCCTGCCATTTCCTAGTCTGAGAAGGAGGAGTGGTCTTCCTGGCATTTGGGTCTCCTCTCTGGTGAACCAGGTACCTTTCTGAGAGTCCCAGGCTCCCTCCCAGCCCACTACCAGGCATGAAGCAGCTGCCAAGGTCAAAGGCCGGGCTGCTGACCTGAGACCTGTCTCCTGCCTCAGCCTTGGCCTGGCTCACCCCCAGCGCTGGTCACTAATGCCACCTCCTGCCCATCCAGTAAGGCGGGGTGTCTGGGGGCTCCCATGTCCTGCAGGGGAGTAGGGGGGGGTGGACGGGAAGCTGTTAAGGTGGGGAGCAGAGTTGGTTTGGTGTGTGCAGGGGTAGGGGGGAGACTATTGAGAATCTTTGTCTGGAAGGCTCAGGGAAGGAAGACACGCTGGGGTTTCCTACTTTTTCATACGTTTGGGGATTTGCTGGTGCCCAAGGAGGGCAGTTGTGTGGGACTGGGCAGCCTGGCCCTGGGTGGGACAAGGGTCTGTCAAGGGTCCCGCAAGACAGCCTGGGGCCCCCGTGGGAGGAGCGGGGAGTATCGCCCAGCCACAGAGGCTGTCAGGGAGAAGCTGGGGGGGGTCCCCCCAAGTCCAGGGCAGGCCGCGCTCCTGGGGTGGGGTGCAGGAGGAGTCCCTGGGCCACACCCCGAGGCTGGGCTGGGTTTTCCCCCCCTTTTTCCTGCGGCTCAGGCTTCCTCAGTCCCGGGGCGCTGGCCGCCCCGGTGTCCCGGGCCCGGGGCCCTCCCGGGCGGGCGCGGTGCCCCGACTCTCCCGGCCGCCGCGGCTCCCCTCCCTGCGCGCCCCTCCCCCGCCTGAATTGGGAATGAGGCTTTGTTCCGAGGTGGACTCAGCATTTCTCGGGAACCTACTGTGTGCCCCGCCGGGGTCGGGGGTGTGTGTGTGTGCGGGGGGGTGGGGTCCGAGCCCCGCGCCGGCCCGGGGGCAGCCCTCGGGCGCGGGGGGCCCTCCCGCCCCGGGGCGAAGGGACCCGCGCCGGCGGTGCCCACCCGCCCCGCTGACCCCCGCGGGCGTGCCCGGGCCGGGGAGGCCCGGACCCCCCCCCACGGTCCCCCCTGCGTGCCGGGGGAGCCAGGTGAGCGGCGGCCCCGCAGCCCGGGGACGCGCGGTGCGGGGGGGGGGGTGCGGACGCGCCGGTCCCGGGAGCGCGGGGCCCCCGCGGAGGGGGGGCCGTGGGTGTCGGGGACCCACCGACCCGGCTCCGCTGTCAGCTGGGGGACGCACGAGGGCTCCGCACTCGGCGTGAGAACCGGGCGGACCGGGCGCCCCGGGGCCGGGGGCGCGGGGGGGGGTCCGCCGGGCGGGGGGGGCAGGAAGAGGGGAGGGAGGTGCGGGGTCACCGAGCCCCGTCCGACCTTGCTGGGAAGGGAAGGAGACGTGGCAGGCGGGGACGCCGGAGGGATGAGGCCGGGGCGGAGGGCTGGCAGCCGCCGGGCCCTCGGCGGGGTCCGGGGCCCTTCCCGCACGCGGGGGGGGGGGGCTCGGCCTGGCTTCTCATTTTCTATCTCGGTGGGGCTTTGCCCTGGGGTGGGGAGCAGCCTCTGGGGAAGGGTGGGGTGCCCTCGGCCCCGCAGTTTCCCCCTCCCGCACACCCCCCCCGCGGGTGCACCGGGGAGGAGGGATGGAGAGGGGTGACGGTCAGGGCCCGGGCGAGGGGTGTGGGGAGGGAGGGGGCTGCAGCTGGGGGGGGCGGTCTGGGGTGCCCGGGTCACGGCACCGGGAACGACAGGCGCGGGCTCCGGGGGACGGGCCGAAAAAGCCCAGGAGCCCGCAAAGAAAATCGGCCCCCGGCAGCACCCTGGGCACCGCACCCCTCCCCCAGGCCCCACCACTCCCCGCACCGCCTCCCCCGGCCGCCTCGTGCTGCCCCCTGCGTTGGGACGAGCGACCCGCGGCTCTGATTGGTCGGAGACCGGGAGGGGGAGCCGAGGGCCGGATTGGCTGGCGGGGCCAGCGCAGGGCGGGGCGTCTGATTGGCGGAGCTGGCCGAGGGGCGCGCCGCTGATTGGCTGGGGACGAGGAAGCAGGAAGGAGGGCGGCGGAGGCTCCGCTCTCGGGGAGTTTGTGGGGGAACCGCGAGCGGCGTAGCGGATCCCGGAGCCCGGCCCCCGTCGCCCGCCCGTCCGGCTGCCTGCCCCGCCCGTCCGGCCTCCGCCGCCCGCCCGCCCCGGCCAGGCGCTCCCGCTCTCCCCCCCCACCCTCCGACGGCCCCGCCCGGCCGCGGCCCCCGCTCCGCCCGCCCGGCCGCGGCCCCCAGGAGGAGGCGCTGACGCAGCAGCGTGGAGCCCGGGAATTGAGCGCCCCCGGGGGGTTCCAGCCGCCGGATTCCAGCCCGGCCGGGGCCTGCGGGCGCCCGGAGCCGCGCCGTCCGCGCCGCCCGTCCCGGTGAGCTGGGGGCCGGGGTCGGGGAGGGGGGGAAGGGGCGGGCGGGAGCGAGCCAGCGCGGTAGGCGGACTCGCGGCGGGGAGAGGACCGGCCGCCCGTCAGCGCGCCCCGCCGAGCGAGCGAGCGAGCGCGCCGCCGCCGCCGCCGCCGCCCCCGCCAGCCCGGGAGGGGACGGACGGACGGACGACGCGAAGCAGGTGCGGCCGCCCGCCCGCCCGCCTCCCTCCCCCGGGTCCGGCGGCGCCGCGGTCCCGCCATCGGGGAGCGAGCGCGGCGCGCCTCGAGGTGACAGCCCCCGGGGGCCGCCCGCCCCGCAGGCCGGGGTGGGTGGCGGCCGCGGGTGGCAGCTCGGCCGGGCGGCGGCGGCGCGGGCGTCCCGGGCTGCGGAGGGCGGGAGGACGGCCGGGTCGTCCCCGCCGCCGCGGCGGAGCCGGTTCTGTCTGCGCCGGGTGCGCGGGCGGCCAGGCCCCCGCCGCGCCCCCTCCCCCATCGCGGTCCCCGAGGCGAGGGGCCGCGGCCGGGGGCGGCGCCGCGGGATCGCCCGCGCGGGGCGGGGGGGGGCCGACCGGCGATGGCTACCGGGGGGCTCGGGGGTGGGGGCGGAGGGGGGCTCGGAGGCGAGCGGATCGGGGCTGGAGGGAAGGGAGGCGCCGCAGACGGAAGGGGACCGGTTCGAGAAGCGAGTGTGGGCCGCGGGAGGCCCGGCGGGGACCGTGCGGGGCGGCGGCCGCGTCCGAGGTGTGGGGCGGGCGGCGGGGGGGGGGGGGCGGGGAGGAATCGAAGTTGTCAGACCGCCTCCAAGTGACAGCGGGGACCCCGCGGCCAGGCCCGGCCCGGCCCGGCCCGCCCTGCCCCGCTCCTCCCGGCCCCGGGGGGCCCGGGTCAGGTCGAGCCGGAGGGCCCCGCCGGGCGGCGGAGAGCCGGACAAAGGCGGCGCCCCGGCGGGCGCAGGTAGAGGCGTCGGGCACGGGGAGCGGGTCCGAGGCGCCCACCCCGAGGGACCGGCGGCCGGCTCGGACTCTGCCCCCGGGGACCGCGGGGGGCCGGGGCGCCCGCCGCGAGGAGCTCGGTCGGGCCCCGGCTTCGGGCTCCAGCCACCGGCGGCCTCGCGGTGCTGGGAAGAGTGGGGTCGACTCGGCCACGGCGAAGGGGCAGGGGTGGGGTGGGGGGAGTGTGTGCACACGGTGCGCCCCGGCCTGGACAGGGGCGACAGGGCCCCAGGTCCTACCGAGGCCAAGGTGGTCAGCCGCTCTGGGGCCTGCCTGCTCTGGGGGAGCGGTGGGGGTGGGGATTCGGAGCCATCTCTGGGGTCCCCCCCCCTCCGGCCCCGGGGGTGCCCATTGTGGGCTGCACCTCGAGACTAGTTGGACCAGACAACTCCCCTCTTCAAGGGTGCACCTGCCATCCCTCAGCCACCGCCTTCAGCACTTTTCCTGAGCCAAGGAGGCGCCCACAGAGGGGAAAGCGGAGCTGAAATCCAGGCAAGACGGTTCAGGAGATTAAGAGCCAGGTTTCCAGTCTTCTCCTTTGTGCCACCGGAGACGTTTCCCCCCTCTCCCCCCTCAACCCCACCTTCACCTCCGGGTCTTCCACAAAAAGGAGCACAGGGCCTCAGAGGGCCACGTGTCTCGGAGGGACAGCCACTGCCCTTGGCCGGCTGGAGGACACTTGGGAGCCACCAGCTCCTGCTGTGAGTGTCTCCAAGTCTCCCGGTGGCAGCTCTGGGCTGGGTGGTGTTTACCCATTTGTAAAGCCCCACTGGGAGCTGTGGTGCCCACCTTGGTGCCGTGGTTGGCTGTCCACCTACCCTGAGAATGTGGCCTGTCAGCCCTGCCACAGTAGGGCACGGGGTTACTCATGTTCCTCCCCTGCCCCCCGCCCCCAAGGTCCAGCCCCCAGCCTGGGTTGAGTTGAGGCTGTGGGAGGGGGCGGGTGTGCTTCACTGGGGAGACTGCAGCGCTTCTGAGAGAGTTTAATTGCATGTGTACATCCAGAGGCTGAAGAACCTCGCTTTGTGTCCTCTGAGCGGCTACCTGTACGCCATTGCCTTTGGTGGCGCTCAGGGAGTGACCTGGTCTTGCTGCGTGGTGTAAAGCGGAGTTGCGAAAACCACATACCTTGTCTCTGGTAGGTTTCTTAGCTGGCAGCAGCCCCCATGCCAGTTGGATCTGTGTTTCGGGGTGCGCCCTGCGGGGTTGAGGCAGTAAGGAGAGTCTCTGTTGGTGACATCTCCCTCCCTGCTTCCTTTCTGGTGCCCGGCTGTCCCTGTGTCAGTCTGTGGCGGTGTTCTGTCCTCCTGCTCCCTGCTTACTCACGCTACCACACCATTTCCCCCCACCGCACCCCTGCCGCCCTCTCCCCCCACATTTGTGGTGCTTTCTCCTTTTCTCGCAGCCTCGGCCCAGTGTGCTGTCCCCAGGCTCTGTCCTCCGCAGGCGCTGCAGGCTGGTGGCTCTGCCCTTTGCTCCCGCCCCTCCCACCTTCTCCATTCCTCCCACTTGTCTGAAGTCTCCACTCCCAGTCACGGCAGGCAGCCCCCTCCCTTGACACACTGCATTTTCCAACCTGGTGTCTTCTTGAGAGGATTGTAGGATGGAAGTTTCTGAGGGGCAGGGACAATATGCACGTCCAAGGTGTTGCGGGTGTGTGTGACTGTGCCGGCGTTCCTCATCTGTAGTCTCCCTGTGTGTTTTGTTGAATGAATAAATGCAGTTGGCCGCTGAGTTGGGTGGGACAGAGGGGAAGTCCTTCCTTTGGCTTCTCTGGAAATGCTCAGTGTGGAGAGGTTGGGGTCTCGGGCCTTTCCTGTCCTTGGGCAGGTTGCGGGGTAGGGAGGGCTCACCTGGGATATTCGGCTGCTGCTTCTGCGACTCCTGCTGGTGGAGAGTCCCAGCCCTGTGGGGCTGCTCATGTGACACCATATAGACAGGAGTTGGAAAAGGGCTGTAATTCTGTTTTCCTCCTACCCTACTGGACGGTTCTCTGTCCCAGGCTTCGCTGTTCTTATGCAACTTTCCTTGTTGTCCATGCTAAATGAATCCATATGTTTTATCTCTTCTCAGTCCCGGTGTAAATGAGGGAGAAAGCATGATTCTGAGAGCAGAAGAGAAAAATAATACTGGGTCTGGTCCATGGATAGGACTTTAGGGTTCCTTTTGGAGGCTCCACAGAGCCCCAGAGCTATCAGAAAAGAAAGCTACAATCCCCAGAGCCAGCAGAACTTGGTTGGACTATGGGGGAAATGGGAAAGGGGACTGGGGACCAGCTCGAAGCTAGATGGTAAGGAAACCTTCTGAATCCACCCTTGCCCCCAGACCTCCCTTCTGTGCCCCATTTTGATGATTAATGGGCTAGCAGTTTCCTTTTAAGTGGGAAGGCCACCCCTCACAGTTGTCATGGCAATGTAGACCGCTCCCCTGTCAATTACAAGAAAAATCCCTACTACTGCTCTCCTCCTCCTCCTCCTCCTGTAGCAGGAGAAAAGCTGCCTTCCAGTGCCTGTCCTGGGTGCTGCCCTGGGCTGCTCTGCGCCCCAGACCTTCCACTAGTCCTGGGCCTTGCCTGAGCTTCATCCCAGCAAATCCCAGCGCTCCTGGAACACTTGGATCCAGGCGAGAAAAGCCTGTTTATACATCCACAGTGCAAACTAAGACCCAGGAAGGGCTCTCCCCTCTCCCTTTCTTTTGGATTAGGAGAGTGCTCGCCACCCTTTCCTTCATATTTAGAGGAATGAGTTAGTTAGGGAGCGTTTGACACCCACCAAGGAGATTTCAGCAGAACTCGAAGGGATTCCCGCTCCTTTACACTGCAGAAATGACTTCCTTTCATTCCTCCCCCCTCTGCCCCAGCATCCAGCGGGCTACAAGGTTTCCTCCTGGCCTTGCTCGGGCCACATCTGGCTTTGGTGCCCTGTCCCAAGGTGAGTCATTAAAGAGGGTGGGGGGGGGAGTTTCTAGTTGAGAAGTTGCCTGTGTTGAACTCTAAAGGCTGGCAGCTGAAGCTTCGGGAGTTTATGGAGCATTATACGAACAGCCCCAACATTAAAGGACCTCCTTTTTATGAATGGGCTGTGAAGAATGTAAATAAAGCAGCATCTCTCAATGGGGAAGCATTTTACATAAGCAGCACTACCCCGGCCCAAGTATTTATGGGAATTTGCTAGCACATTCTGGCAAGCCTTACTTCCTTTGTGAACTTGCCATTGTGTGTGTGTGTGGGGGGGACTTTAGAGGGACATGGAGAGAGTGTTTGGGTCCCGAGGGCAGGCCCAGCACACTTGGGCTCTGCAGATCTCCTGGCCTTCACTGGGTGGGGGCTGGCTCGGGGCTGAAATGCCTCTTCACTCTGAAAAGGTGGGGAAATCATAGGTAGTCAAGAGCACGTGGGAATGAGAAGCCTGGGCTCCTCACGCCTAGGGTTCTGCGACCCTGCAGCCCTGATCCCTCAGGTGGCCTGGACCTCCCCAGGTGGGGGCGTGGGGAGGTCTCCGTGATGGAATCCTGCCCGGTTTTATGGGAGGCACCTCACTGAAGTCAAATGGACTGGTTTGAATTTCAGCTCCTTTATGTCTCTCCAGCCCACCTCCTGGTCCTGCCACTAATGAGCAGTAAAATGTCTAAAAGGGAGGCAGAGGCGGAGCCGCCGCAGTGGGTTGCAGATGCCGGGGTAGGCCGGCAGAGCCGGACCAGCATCCTCGGTCCGAAAGCCGAGGATCCGAGTCACATCCAGGACTCTTTGTGGTGTCCTGGGAGCGGGGAGAGACGGTTGTCACCTTTCCCCTGTGGGAAACACCCTCCAGGAAGGTCATTCAACCCATTCTGTCCCTTTCCCCCATAAAAATAATGCTGTCTTGGGATCCAGTGTGTCGGTTTAATTCCCCCTGTCTGTGGTCGGGCGCGATTGCCTCTGCCTGGCTCATTGTCCACAGAGCCGAGTTCTGAGACCAGGTTGCCTGAATGAAAATAATCAAGTGAGTCGGTCCAAGTGAGGATTTGGAGTTA